CCCCCCGAAATGACCTCTGTGTATATATAGAATAATTTTGGGGACTTGGTTGTACATTCCTGCCTTCTGAAGTGGAAAGCAAACTCAGAAACCTATGCTTGCGCGTTAAAGCAAAAACTGAAAAGAAAGCCTCTCTCCGCAAAGTTTCAAAGACCTTGTTGAAAAGCAAAACCGCTTACTTGTTGGCAACGTATTAGCTGGATTTAGTGTGATTACAAAGTTACCTCAGTTTTATTATCAGTTCACCTTATACATCCTGTCCCACTATCACCTGACCTTTTGCCCTCCAAGATAAATAAAATATTTTGTTTATTTTTGAACTTTCAAATGCCTCTTCTGTGCCATTACAGAAGTAGAATATTAGCAGGTAATTTTTGTCCCTTCCCTCAAGTGTCAAGCTCAGTCCTTGCTTGTCATAGAATGTTGTCTAGCCAAACTCATGCTCTGTTACATTAGGGGTTAACTACTTTCTCAGTCATGCTTATTTCATTGTTTTCGTCTACAGGTATTCTGGGGTTTACTGCTGTTTATCTTCTCTGCTGGGGGGGGGAAGATGTGTGTGTGAATGTCTGCTTAAGCTTGAATAGTTCCAGCGTGTAGCAGTCTGTGAGACCCTGGGAAGTATATGATCTCAGCAGCCAACATGACCTTGTAACACAGGGAGCTTCTAGATAATGTAACCATTCGTTTGCAGGTGCTGGGTGTGGCCGTAAGGGCAGGCTTGGATCTTTGGCAGGCTGAATGAGAATATTGATTGGGTGGCTGGCATGGTGGGGGGATGTCCTTCTTGTAGTATAGGGTCAGAACTGACATCCAGAAGCCAGTTCCGACACAGAATCTGTCTATTCTTGGAATCTCTCTACCTCTCAATAAACATATCTTGCTGCTACAAGAGTGTTGTGTGAGTGATTGCATCCAAGACTTAACATCAAGTCCCTGGACTGGGCCAGCATCAAAACATATAATAATGTGACAGCACAGCCACAGACCAACAAATAAGAAGAAAATAGATATAAGAAGAAGAAGAGATTGGATTTATACCCCGCCCTTCACTACCCAAAGGTGTCTCAGAGCGGCTTACAAACTCCTTTCCCTTCCCCTCCCCACAACAGACACCCTGTGAGGTAGGTGGGGCTGAGAGAGCTCTTGACAGAAACTGCTCTTTTTCAAGAACAGCTCTTATCAGAACTACGGCTTGCCCAAGGTCATCCAGCCAGGTGCAAGTGGAGGAGTGGGGAATCAAACCTGGTTCTCCCAGATTAGAGTCTGCGCACTTAACCACTACACCAAACTTATACACCATATAAGAGCTGCTCAGCAAGAAAGAAAGAAGAAACAAAAGGAAAATCCAGTGCATGAGAGAGGGAAGAGGATGAGATCTCCATATCTGGCTTCTAACGCCCATCTTCTGCCACCTGTCTCTACCTTTCCCCCCAACTGTTGCGTCCCAACTCTGCCCATCTTTTTCCTTCCATACCCTGCTACTTCTGCCCCCATTAACACCAACACTGTTCCCTATCTCCCCCTACCTTCCCACTGCCCCCTTTCCTCAGCCTGACCTCACCACCACCACCTCCCCCTCCTCACCACTCTACCTGCCAACCCACCCCCTCCTCACTGCTCACTCAGCCACTTGCCACCCACCCAGCCTTTCAAGTTGATGCTCCATCGCTGACGCACCTCTCCTTCCTCCATCCACCTCTGATGGTGGAGTGATGGCAGCTCCTACCTCCTCCCACTGCTCTGCTCAACAGCTCATTCCCATTGCTCTCTCCAATACTCTGCTCTCCCATCTGCCCCCCAGTCTGTCCACCCACCCATATTCCCCCCTCATTCAGCAGGCTAGCCACTCACCAGCCAGCCTGCCCAGCTGAAGCATTGCTGCCTGCCTGCCATGACAGCTCCCATGATCCTCTTCAAGTGGTGAGGGGTGGCACCTCTCCTGCCAGCTGCTCTGCCCCCCTATCCACCCATACCCTACCAATCTGCTCACCCACACCCCTTCTTCAACCCACCTGCAGTGTCACTGTCTCTGCCATCAAGCAACAGCTCTGGCTCAAAGAGAAGTGTGATATCTGGGTACATTCAGACAGCACTCCTCAGATTGGGGGGATTTAATCCCTTTCCACTTTTTTCTAGGTTTTCAGATTTTTCTTCAAAAAAGTAAGTAAGTATTAGAGCACCGAAAATCTATTTTTAAGAATTTTATTTAATTATAGTATGTTTATTATTGTATTTTATACTGTTTTTATTGTTATAATCTGGCATTTATGCCTCTGTTAGCCGCCCTGAGCCTTCGGGGAGGACGGGATATAAATCCAAATAAATAAATAGGGGGATCCTGGTCTTCAGATTTAAGTATCCACAGAATCAGATGGGATCATGCTGAGAATTAGATATGTTGATTTTTGTTTGTTGTAAATATCACTATTTATCAAGAAAAAAGGAGGAGGAAAGGGAATTCCACAGTTCAATTCCTAGTATCTCCTGTTAAAGGGTCAGGCAGTCGGTGATATGAAAGAACTACCTGAGACCCTGAAAATATGCTTATAAGTCAAAGCAGACAATACTGACTGAGGCTGCAGTCACACACACTAAATAATCTACTTTCAATGCATTTTCCAACTGGATTTTGCTTTTTCACAGAGTGCACTGAAAGTGGATTGAAAGTGGATTATTTAGTGTGTGTGACCACAGCCTTAGATAGACCAATAGGCTTCTTCAGTCTAAGGCAGCCCCAGGTGTTCATGTACAACAATTTATTCACCAGGATATATTTTGTTTGTGTGTGTTACCAGTTTTATGACAGGCCTTCATATACATGCAAGAAATTTTCAAGAAAACACAGCAGAAGAACAACTGACAAACCTTTAGTGCAGATCATTTGTCAGAGAGGCACCCTGTGAACTTGATAGGATGACATTTGCACAAGCCATTTAGCAAGTGGAAACAAGCTAATTACTATAATACATACCAAATGAGACTGCACTGACTGGTCTGAATATGGAGGGGGTGGTGTCTCCGTGTTTATTTCTGGTTCTTCCTGATCACTCTCACTATAGCACTCTGAAGCAAAAGCACAACCATTAAAATGCATTCTATACTCTTTTCAATGCTTTGCTAACCAAAGCACACTTTTGGCAGTTAAATGCAAAACGTATTTTGGCCCAGTCATGCATACAAGGCTATCTCTATGCAAAACAGGGTATTTTCTACGCCTCCCAATTTACCAAACTTTTGCAAAGAAACATGGTGATGAAGGGAACAGCAGTTTTAAAAATTATACATACATAAATGCACATGCAGAACAGGTCTCCAGAGATCAGGTTATTGCAGTTATATTTCCAACAATTAAAAACAGATAATTCATGTTTCATGAACTGAGATACATAACTAATTTGCAATCCCAGCAAGGGATATGCTGCTTGAAGAAACCTGTGGAAGCATTAACAAATAATTGCAAAATATGTCCAGTGCTAGCAAAGGATAGGTTTCTCCCACAGTATCGTAGAGTTTTTTTTTGCCAAAGCATGACCCTCTACTACAGCATATTTGTTACAACATTCAAATGGCTCAGTCCTGGATCATATATCCCAAAATAATCATAAACTTTAAGCCATTTCCCCAGCCCTATCTCTGGCAGAATTTGGTCAGTACTGGGTTGAGTCTACATAGATCCACTGGGGGGGGGGGTTTGGTATCCTGCCACTCTGCTAAGCAAAGTGACACTTTGATCCTGTCCTACTCTGCATTTTGTGCTTTCTGCATCTGGCGCCCCAGGACAGCAGAGGACTGTCTCCTATCTTTCTGCATCTGGCGCCCCAGGACAGCAGAAGGACTGTCTCCTATCTATATCTTACTTCCTTCTTACTGTTTAGTTTAGCAAGGACACATTTGGCCTACATGGCCATAGAGGAAATACCCAACTTATGTAATTTTTTTTTCTGTTCCTTTCTATATTTAGCCATTTCCCCTGCTGTTGTTTTGCTACAGTAGACATCATACAGTACAATACATCATACAGTATGAAGATGTCAAAACGTTTGGTATAAAGTCATCAAACCATTAGTTTAACAGACGCATTTAATGGGAGAGAGGGCTCACACCTTCCTTACAAAATGTGATTTACAGTTGTTGATCATTTCAATAGAAACATTTCGTATTTGGACTAAATTCCTATTCAGGCCAAAAATTTTATCCAGTAAAACTGACCTGAATGTTCTTCACTACCACTATTAATAATTGCTTAACATTACAGTACTCTATTGACTCAGGCTCAAACCCTCACTCAGTCACAAACCTCACTCGAGCTGCTGCTGCACAGGGATTGTTCCCTGCATCATGGAAAGCAACAAGCCCCCAGATTCAAAGGTAACATCCACATGGCATCATGCTCATTCCAAGCATAAGTTGTTCCTGCTCAGGCCTTTCCCCCTTAAGATATAGGGAAAGGGTGTTGTTGTTTTTTCAGGTATAAAGGGAAATCTTCAGAGTGGCTGTATGGAGAGAGTGGTTACTGTAGGGAAGGTGCAGAACTAAATGCCATTTTTAAAATGATGGAGGACCACACTATTTCCCTGATTTAGCCCTTTAAAGATTGCCCTCCATAGCACTATAGCACTATAGTATAGCTATAGCACTATAGCACTATAGTACAGCTGCTTAGTGAAGGGGGAACTTTGGGCCACAGTGTGTTGGGGTGTCCACAGTGCTTTTACACAGAGATGATGGGGGGAAAGGACAGCAGTGAACAGGTCAAGAAGGGTGCAAGTGGATGCCATATACCTATGCTGCTTATTGTCACGACTATGGCAGGGAAGTGTTTTTGCACTCCAGTGTGGAAACAGCCTGGGTGACCTTGGGCCAGTCACTCTCTCTTAGTCTTGTGTACCTTACCGGGTTGTTGCAGGGTTGCCAACTCCAGGTTGGAAAATTTCTGGAGATTTAGGATTAGGGCCTGAAGAAGGTGTGGTTCGGGGGGAAGGGGGCTTCAGCAGAGTATAATACCATAGATTCTGCCCTTCAGAGTAGCCAGTTTCTCCAGGGAACTGATCTCTGTGGTCTGGAGGGTAGTTGTAATTCTGGGAGATATCCAAGCCCCATCTGGAGGTTGACAATAGGGCTGCCAAGTGGGGGCGGGGGGCAGGTAAACACCCGCTTTGGAGGCCCGATTTCCACCGCCGCAGAATCGAGCCCCGGGGGGAACCCCACCCCAGTGTGCGTGTCACCAGGAAGTGACATTATGACGCCGGGCACGCTGGGGGCGGGGCCACAACCATCCGAGGGGAAACTCTATGGTTTCCTCTCGAATGGTCGTGGCCCCGCCCCCAGCATGCCCTGCGTCATAACGTCACTTCCTGGTGACGTGTGTGTGGCGCGTGCGCGCTCCGGGATCCACCTGGGAGTCCCCCGCTGCGGAGGTAAGTTATACTTGGCAACCCTAGTTGACAACCATAGCTGTTGTAAAGATTCACTAGGGGAAGAAAGAACTATGTCCATTGCTATGAGTTTCTTGGAAACCCAGCATGGAGTAGTAGTTAGAGTGCCAGGAGGGGCTTTGGTTTTCCGCCATGCTGTTTTCAAGAGCCCAAACCTCCCAGGAGGGAAAAAGGACGAACCCCTCCTCCCCCTGTACAGCTGTACTGAACAGGATCAGGCCCCTACAGAATTTGTAAAGCGAGGGAATTCCAGCTATAAAATGGCAGCATCCCCGCTCCATCCCCAGGGATGTTGTATTGTCTGGTTTGGCCGTCAGTGACCTTGGGGATCTGAACTCTCTCAGCCTAACCTACCTCACAGGATGGCTGTTGTGAGGAAAAATGGAGATGGGAAGAACAATGCTGTAAACTGCTGTGGATCCCCAATTGGGAGAGAGAGAAAACCATGTATAAATATCTAAATAAATAAAAGTGGATGAGAAAAAATGGTCGAAAGAGACGGTATTGGGATTCCATCCTTTAAATGATTATTTGAGCATACCTTCCTCATTCTTTTTGTTGACTTGCTTGACAACAGCCAGGCCTAGTTTATTTAGCCATCTGTGATTTGAAAGAAAACATATGCATTCATATACAACAGAATATCAAAGCTATGTTAAAGCATGTTTGCAGATCAGTAGCTGTTTTGCAACTGTCTATCCACATCATCTTAAACTGAGAATTCAGCTAACATGTTAAAACATTAAAGCAACCCATGAATCCACATGATTTTTTTCAAAGCCATGTAATGCCTTTTCTTACCAACCAAAGTAACCTAAGCACATTTCATTTGAGCATGTATTGAAAACACTTTTTCTGGTCAGATTGTAATTTGTATACTACGCTTCTTATTTTAGAAATGTTTGAGTTTGCAGTCAGTTTATTATTTCTTTATATTTAGTTGAACTTAGAGTTTTCCCCCTTCAGTTCCTCTCTCTGTTTTGGATTGGTTGAGGACACTTCTCCCACCCCCTTTTTACCTGCTTTTCCATTGGCTCTGTATCTAATGCATCAATTAAGAATATACAAGGGGTGGACCCGCGATACTCGCGGGAGGGAAGCAGAGGAAGCAGCAGGAAGAGGTAAGTACCCTCCCATCCCGCTGTTTCCCGTGTCCTCCACCCCCCTTGCCTTCCCCCTCCTTGCCTCTCCC